TGAAAAAAGAAAGGAGAAAGGTTTTATGAGACGAAGGGAGTAGTTATGAAATGCACTACTTTAATTTATTACTCGAGAGTGGCTACGCGGTGGCCCACCTGAAACCGTTGTGAAACCTATTATGAATGGAGCATGTTACATGTACCTCAAAATGTGTATTCTATTTGTACACCAAATGTATGTACCAATATTTTAATGATTTACACTGACACAAGGTGTTGGTGCGTAAACAAAAATTTACACTGACACAAAGTGTTGGTGTGCAACAAAAATTAGCATTACACCAACACAAAATGTTGGTGCATTTCTGCGATGTATAAAATAGGATACAAATTTTTGGGGGTATAAATAACATTTTCCGTTATGGATTTACCAATCTTTTCAAAGTGCATGTCTCAAACCCGCACCTAGAAAAATATTACTCCTCGGTCTTCCCTATCATTATTTTTGGATACACTTTTAGTTACAAAAAGTAGGACTATATTTTTAGACAATGTGTGCAACTCTATAGGGGTGAATAGATTTGTTGACAATGTTTACCCTTTTTCGCAGTGTGAGCCTGTAAATAAATATTTTTGATAATTTATATACGAGAAATGGTAGAAGATGAATGAGAAAATAATTCTAAGAGTTAACCAAATGGTAGAAGGTTATTATTTAATCCTTAAAAATATAAATATTATCTTTTATATTTTTTCTTGATTTGATATTATTGGATTTGATATGGTCTGATCTGATCTGATTGGATCTGGTCTGATCTGATTTGATTGGATATGATCTGAACTGATTGAGTCTGATCTGATCTGATTGAATCTGATCTGATCTGATCTGATTTTAATAAGAATAAGTAATAAGTAGAAAAAATAAGTCCTAAGGAACGGACCCTAAATAGGACAAAATTTTATAAGAGGCATAAAAAATGGATGGCTTAATATTGTTAATATTAGTCTGTAACCATTATAATTAGCCATGAAATCATATTAAATATGAGTAAAATATAGAGAAAGTACCAAAACATGAGTTCCATGTTTTTATTTTCCAAAATAGGAGTTAACACTGTTGTAATGTGACAGTATACATGTGCATTTTACCATACTTTTTGGAGCAAAAAAATTGATTTAGGTGCAGCAGAAATTATAAAACGATCTTCTTCTTCAGTTTTTCCGGTCGGCAACATTGCGACGTTGTTCTTATTCATTAGCGTGTGATTGGTTCGTACAATAATCACACATGATAGCGGTTTATTCATAGGAGAAGAGTGCCCATGTTTTCTAGTACGGTACGCAGATACTACTACCTTAAGGACAACTTCGATAACTCCGCTGTCTTTCCATGATGTTTTTCTTTTACGTTCTGTTTACAATGACCTTGCTGCATTCTACCCGATCTCATAATGTCCTCGTTGGTGTTCTAGTTCAAGCCATAGTGTCCATGCTGCTATTCTAGAGACCTTGCCACTACTCACATTATCTTTGTCCCAGGCTTAGTAGATGTTTTAGCCCGTGCATAATGTCCTTGCAGTCCAGTGCATAATGTTATTGTGCAGCAAGGCCTTTTATTCTCAATAAAGTATAAATTTAGAATTTTATTTACTATTATATTCCAGTGTCATTCATCTTCCCTATCTGTTGTAATCAAACACGAATTAGTAACAATGCATGTATACGTTAATACTCTTTGTTTTTGAAAAAAGTTTTTATTTTGACTTTTTTGGTAAATTTATTTTTGTAATTTGACTTTTCAATTAAATCTTTAGTATCGAAGAAAAAAAATAGACAAGTCATTTAAATAAGTTATTATATCAATACAAAATGAGCGAACTAAAGTACTCCGTATATTGTACTCGGTAACAATTTTATTTACATATATTAGTGGTTCTTTTTTCAAAAATAGAAATCTTTTATAAAAAATGAAAAAGAAAGATATAAAAAACAGACTAACAGAGGGAGTATAAGAATGTGCGTGAGTGTGTAAACTGTAAACGACCCAAATTTTGTTCCAAAACTCTCCAAACCGTCATAAGCAATACATCCATGAGAATATGGACGGTTGGTCTAAAATATATAGGACGACCCTTCCATTTCTCAAATTGAGCTCTCCATTTGTTTTTGAAGGATTTGAAAAAGAGTAATTTAGCAAATGAGACTGAATATATACTCCCTCCATCTAATAATAAAGTTTTTGTTTACTATTTACAGAGTCAAACTTGATTCACTTTGTTAATATATTTTTGTGTCCTATTTGATTAAATAATATAGTCGCATCACCTTTAGTTTGTAGATTTTTTCATGTAGTTTTTAAATATGTAATTTTATGTTTAAATTCTATGTCATTTATTATTTAAATGATTTGAAAATAACTTTAGTCAAAGATCGTAACGCACAACGAGAACTTTATTTATGGACGGAGAAAGTATCACTTTTCCCCAAATGGAATCTGTCATATTTATTCTAACATTTGACAATAAAAATTTCTAAAACGTCCAACCTTTGAAAATGCAAGTGTTTCGTTAATAGTCGAAAAAAATGACAAACATTTAAAATGACTACAAATGGATATTAATAATGTCCTTTGTCTATAGGTCATTTTATTAATATGACATATGATGTTTGTTTTTAGAATCAACTAAAACGTCTACTAAAAAAATTCCAGTTATTATAAAAGAATAACCTATCACACAATTCAATAATCATTCAAATAATGAGTTATTATCCATAACTTGTTGCTAATGACTATATTCGTAGAGTCATTGGTATAATGAGGGCATATATCGCAGATAATACAAAAATACTAGTTTTCTACACTGTGCTACGCACGGACTTGTTATTAGGGCTCGTTGTCATAATGTTATTGAGGCGATGGTTGGAAATGGAGGGTTGGGTTTATGATTTGATTTTCTTCCATGCTACGCTTGGGCATGTGTTAAAGGGTTGTGTATATTTTGATTTTGTAGGATGTTGAAATACTACATTGTATCTTTTTGTTTTGTGAGATGTGAAAAGTGACATTATTGTATTTTGGGATTTTTAATTTGATGTTGCTGGTTGAAGAGATTCATTTTTTGTAATGATTTGACGTTCGTTTTGACGTTGTACCGGTTGATGTTTGTTTTGGCGTTTTGATGTTCGTTGGGGTAAGATGACGGCTGGGCGTCTGTATCGGTTACCATTGAAGCGAGGATTGCAAAGGACGAACATCAATGCTTGGTGTCTGTACATGTTGGCGTACGCTTTGGCGTTTAATGTGTGAGGTCTGTACACGTTGGCGTTTAATGCCATGTTACGTATGACACGTGTCAACACTACAACCTTCAAACTCTCTTTTACATATATACTAGTACTAGTATTCCTACCCGTGCCACGCACGGCGTCGAACGAATTTTTATTCACTCAGGTAATTTTTTCATCTTATTTTTTGATATACCATTAATTTTTTCTAATTGAAGTGCATGCATATATAAATTGAAAAGAGCATATTAATGTATAAATGAAATTTATATCTTTTGAAATACTTCAGGGTAAACTACATTTTTGGTGAAATTGCAAGGGTTACCGCTGTCGTCTAATACTAACACTTTCAATCTTGTTTTTGCTTTCACTCGTTAAACTGCAACATATAGTTGACCGTGAGTGAATACTAATTTGCTCAAAAATAATCCAACAAATGACAATGTTTGCCCTTGACTCTTATTGATAGTCATGGCAAAACATAAAGATATTGGAAATTTTCTTCTTTGAAACTTAAACGGTAATCCAGGATTAGATGGCACCAAATTCATTCTTGGTATGTAAACTTTCTCCCTGGCATTGTTTCCTGATACAACGATTGCACCGATAACGTTTCTCCCCAACTCATCAACGATTAACCTTGTACTATTACACAACCCAGATGTTTGATCAATGTTTCTCAATAACATGATCGGTACTCCTTTCTTCAAAACTATTTCGTGATTTCGAATTCCAGAACATATGATCAATATCGTTCAAAAACTCAATCGTTATCCAATCACCATCTATGCCGACATCTGAATATGCTTGACATGAAGAATCTGAACTCAAATATTCCTTTTCATCACCAGGAATCAGAGACAAAACAAATTCATTGATCATTTAAACAACTTCAAGTGTGGGTGCTAATAACGCTCTATCCATAAAGAAAGTATAATCTTTCATATTTTCTAATAAATCTGGATATGTGAATTCCACTATAGTCTTAAGTGGAGAGCTCGAGTTAAGAATCAAGGATTCCAGTGGTATTTCAATTTCACAAATTCCATCATTCACCACGCCAAGCTGTCTATCTCCAATTTTTATTATCCAGTCCGAAAAAGTTTGTGTGTCATTATCTTCATAGGTGGATGCAGATAAATGCAACCTCATATTTCTTGTTAACGTGAAGACCTTACAAAATGACCACAAACCCGAGGAATTAATTGTAGTATCTACAATTTCCTCTCTTGAAGCTCTTGGCAAAACTGGAAACATTTGACGGAAGTTACCCCCAAGCACAATTGTTTCCCCCCCAACGGTTCATTTGCAGCGTTTTTATTAGAAAACCGCATAATATCTCTCAACGTGTGATCTAATGCATCAAAAGCAAATTTATTCATCATACACGCTTCATCCCATATTATTAGACTCGCTTGTTGGATTAATTCTGCTTTGGGGCTTCCTTGTTTGATGGCGCACGTTGAACATTCAGTTAGTGCCAAAGGGATCGAGAATCTTGAATGTGTTGTCCTACCACCAGGTAATAACAATGCTGCAATTCCACTGGATGTAACATTTAAAACAATCTTGCCTTTCGATCTAAGCGCAGCAGACAATGATTTCCAAAGGAATGTTTTTCTAGTTCCTCCATATCCATACACAAAATAGAAACCTCCTCTACCATCTGTGACAAATTGCATTATCTCATCGTATATTTTCCTTTGGTCATCATTCATCGTTGGTAAATATTGCTTGAGATCAATTGACAACTTTTTTCTGTCATAGTTTAGCTCTTCGACTAAGAAATTATTTTGAAATCTATTAAGTGGGTCGTCAATTGGAAATGGCATGCTACCTCCTTTAAAGATCGTCTGTTTGAATTAAGTAATTTCTCAATCTCAATCAAACATAATTTTTGGAAATTATCGGGCAAGATGGTAAGTTCTGCAAAACAAATGTTCATTAAAATATTACTAAATATTTTTTTAAAACCAAAATATTTAAAACTACACATATTAACCAAACAAAAAAAGATAATAATGTAGCACATTAAAAGAATACATTTTAAAATAGAATAATAAAACTATTCTAATACTCCATTATTTTTGTTTAAAAAATTAGAGTAATGCAGCTCTTTTATAAGATCAAATCCTAAATAGACAATCATGTAGTAGAGTAATTCACAAATCGTCTAAAAAAAGACAAGTTTAATTAAATTTAGGAATTTCTATCATTTAAAAAATGTAGTTAGTTTTGATGGTGTTTTTCCCATAACGATAAGCCTGGACACGGTACCGGTACAGTACCGCTATCGGCAACGGTACCGCTGGTACCGCTACCATCACCGCCGGCGTCACGTATCTTCGGTTCCGTGGAACCGGCACCGCCCCCCACGGTACCGGTTCCGGTACCCATTTTTCGGTACCGGCACCGGCGGTACCGGTTCCGGTTCAGATACCCTTTGTATTTTTTTTGCTTTTCCCAGCCTTCGGTCATTAATTCTTCAGCCTTCTACTCTTCAGCTTTCTGCTCTGCTTCTTGTTCTTCAGCCTTCTCGGCTTCTCCACCTCTATATACCGAAGTACCTTTTTTTTTGTCCAGCGGTCCAATAAAAAGAGAGAAGAGGAATTGAGCCGGAGATACAGAAGAGGAATTCAGGCTGGGATAAGGCTAATTTTTTCACAAAATTTCATAAAAAAGACAAAAAATATTAATTTGGGGGTGGCCGGTCCAGTACCGGAATCGCCTGTCCGGGTACCGGAATCGCCTGTCCGGGTACCGGAACCGGTACCGGCCGGTCCGGTCACGGTACCGGTACCAAGGGGTGGCAGTACCGGAACCGGCGATTCCGGAACCGGAACCGTCCCAGAACCGTACCGTGTCCACACCTACATAACGAACATCTTACACTAGATGAAGTGCATGTTTACTAACACCTGCAACAATATTTTGTTTTATGAAATGGTTTTTTTCAAAAATTCTCATTTTCACTATCACATACTTCAATTATATATAGGTCTAACTAATAATAATAATGAGTTAACCTAACAAATTAATTACCTGGATTGCGTAATAATCTTCTTCGGTCATATAAAATCCCATCAGCCAATAGTTCCCATGTTTTCTCCCACACAACACACGGATGACTCATGTCATTCGTCACCAACAATGTGACGAACAACTTTCTCAATTGATTTCCAGAACCAAGCTCGGAAGCCTCTTTTATACCTTCAATGAATTCTTTATCATCGATTAATAATCCCAACGCTTCACACTCTTGAGGACTTGTCGTGCGATCCAAAACAAATTAAAAATTTATAAATAACCTTAACTAACCCCCAAGATATAATCAAACTAAAAACTATAGGGCAAGTAAGGGTCGATCCCACGGAGAAAGTTTGTACTTTTTAAAACCAATTTAGCATGCAACCACATTGTCACGAAATAAAAATAAAACTAACTACTACGCATATTAGAACACTTATAAAACTTATAATTAAATAAATATAAAAACATATAAATTGAATTTATATAAACAAAGAACTTATAATATAACTTATAAACATAAAACACATACTTAAGATATACTAAAAGAATAAAGTATACAAAAAACTTATATTTATAACTTATAAACAAACACTTATAATATAACTTAGTAAATAAAAACTTATATTATAACTTAAAACACAAGGGGGGGGGGGTTGAATAAAAAGTAAATATTTTTTTGTTTTTATATTTTCTTATTTTTTTGGTTTTTTTTGATAAAATGGGGGAAAACAAGGTCAAAAGATAATCAACTTCTCCAACAAAGGTAACCCAAGAAACACCGCCAAGAACCCAAAACAAAATAAAAATTGAGAACAAACACAAATTGAACATTACACGTATAATAGACACTTAGACAATATATTACGTAACTTAATTACGCACTTAAGAATAGAAAAGAATTCAAAGGCTCGAGTTGATTCATATCCTTGACCACATATAGAGGATCGTCAACTCTCTATAAGACCCGGAGTCAAAAATTCAAAGGCCTTTTGGTTACTTTGAACCCCCACTCACCTCAAGCGCTCAAACAATGATTCCAAAAGATGAAAAATTTTATAAAAGAGCGAATCTTTCTTTCATTCTAACTCCCATGCACAAAGTATTCATGAAGAACATTTGATACAATTTAATAAACTTTAACGTCTAATGATGAAAATATTTTGCAGGTCTCCTCGAACAACTTAAGCGTAAGAATTTTAGTCTATTCACATAAAAGAACATGACATATTTTCAAAAAACTTAAAAATTGTTTTTGTGCTTAAACAACCTTAAATTTTATGAAAATCAACACAAAACAAACGAACAAAATAACAATAACTTCATAACGAATCTTAAGGAAAATGTCCAACTTATGTGGCTAAGAAGTCCAAAATCCTTAAAATTTTACAAAACACATAGAACAACGAAGAATCACGTATGAATTCGGAAATCATTTAGCTATAATATGGAGCTAAAATAGCTTCAATGAAAACCCAATTCCACATACCAACCTACTTATTAAATCAAACCGTGCGATTCAACCAATTCAACAACAATTTGCACAATAATTGAAGAAAACTAGTATGAATCAATTTTCATTCATAAGGGATTTAATATAAACATTAAAAAAAACCATAAAAGAACACCAACCATTTTGGAATTTTTTGAAATTCACACAACAAGCAAAAAATGTAAACTTGAATTGAAACAACACTTTTACAAAGAAATTGGAGAAGAAATTGAAGAAATAACATATAGGGTTACCAATTATTGAAGAAGAAGATGATGAAAACTTGTAGAATTAGAGCTTGAAGGAACTGCCACACCTATCACCGCCGACCATCGTCAAACGCCGGCGAGCCGTGGTCGACCGCCGTCTGCTTTCTTCTCCGGTGGCGACAATTGCAGCGGCCAAAAGCCGCTGCTCACTTTCCTGTTGGTGCGATGCCCTTCCCCCTCCTTTTCAATTGCTGCAAATGATCTTCAATTTATAGAATGGAGGAGCCAAATTCTTCCCGTTGGAGCATTTATTTTGGCGAACGTTGGAGAAGAGCCGTTGAAGGAATTGGTCGCCGCTGCTCGCGCGAAGAAGAAGAAGTCTTCGTTCCTTTCTTTTCCTTGTGCCGTGCGTGAGATTAGAGAGGAAAGAGGGGTGCTGGGCTAATCTAATTTTGTTGATTTAATGATGGGTTTGGGCTTTGGCCCAAATTCAATATCTTCTTTTCAAACTTGAACTTCAATTTGGTCTTCTACTGCACTTTTCTCCAAAAAATAAGATATCTGATAACTTGAGTTAGAAAAAATAATAATAAATTGTAAAAAAAAGTGATTAAAAAGTACTATTTATGAAAGAAAAATAAAAGATTGTAAAAATGAGAATTAAAATAAAACTAAGCTAAACTACTAAAAATTAAACTCCAAAAATATTAAAAAATGCATAAAATTGGATAAAAAGTACTAATCCAAACCCGAGTTATGACACACGCAGACTCAAATGAGTTGTGCACAACATTGTTTATTGTCCTTAAACTTTGATAATTGGTGCATCCTCGTCAGACAGTCAAGAGCAATCTCAAGTAATATAACTCGTCGGTTCCTGCTGGAACATAATGGAGTCGGCTTATCGATGGTCTTTGCTTTCTCGGAAACCATCGTTGTTTTTTTGTCATACACAAAGTGTCCTGGAAATTCAGCATAAGTTAAATAATGCCCCTCACTGTACTATGTATTGGCCACCATCCAAGCCTCAAACATTGAAAGACGTTCAATATTTTCTTGAACTACTTTATTAACTTCATCCTTGTCCTTGAAGGTTACACATTTCTGACCTAGAAGATGGAAATTCAATCTCAAAACAGCTGGCCACCTATGGTGTATATCAAAAGCAAAGATTCTCCAAGCGGCTTCGCACGCAGATAAGTATCGACAATTTAAGTACTTCTCTAGTTCATTGTACCCGACCGCTTTATTAAAATTACTTTCTGACTGTCCTACTGCAACAGTCACTCTATTTGGTCGTTTGTTGACATATTTAAAGAGATATTTGATAGAATCTGATTTGTTGCAATATTCAATGTTGATGTGAGCTTGATACGTCATCAAAGGTTCTGGATTATATGGCACTACAAAATGGTTATCCAACTCAATGTTCTTTTTCACGGTGTTGATTCCCGTATCTCTACGTTTGTATACTGGATAACCACTTTCATCAAGTGTTGTTTTCTCAACAAATTGCTTGTGAAAAAATTTCTTACATTTCCCTTCATCCATACATGGTGATTTTGGATTATCTGTGCCACAAGGACCATGCATCATCAATCGAGTTACAGACTCATACAATTGAGGGTACTTATTTTTATCAGGCAACTCAGCACATATGACACGATCAATGGACTCTATTGTTTGAAGTTTATCCTTTAGATGCAACCATATTAAGATATTTGCATGAGGTAAACCTCATATTTGGAACTCGGCTGTGTATAGACCTGCACATGAACAAAACTATCATACATTAACTATTAAAAGTATGCATGTAGTTGCATATTCAAATCAATGCATTATAATTATTTTATCTTAAATGCTTACAAATGAAAAAAATTCAAATTACCTCCAATTACATCCCCAAAGATTTTTCCTTTTTTTAAGTCCTTCTCCAAGTGATCTAGTTTCATTTTGAAAACTCTAGACTCAATGTCTGGTCTGTCTGCAGCCGTACATCCACTTCTAGTCATAAATCTTACAATCTCTGGCCACTGGGGGTTACATGTGATAGTAATGAACAAATCTGGATATCCAAACCGCCTACAAATTGCCATTGCATCTTGACAATTGTTAAACATATTTCTCATTCCACCAGTAAAAGAAGTTGGCAAGACAATCCGTTGTTCAGAAGTTGCTGGGTTTGTATCACCTCTCGTAAGAGCTTCCTCTAGTCCACTCATAATGTCTCCTCTAAGTTTATCTTGATTCGTAATAGCCCATTGAAATCTTTGGGCTTCTACCATTGTAAATGCATCTACCAAAAACTGTAAGAACAGCCTCCGTGCGTGTAACACTATACCACCATCATTATCCCTTTCATGTATGCGAAATGCAATAAATTCTCTTATGGATACTCATGGACGCTTTACATCGTCATTGTCTGTTAAAAATGATTCCCTTATGGGAATTTCTTCTTCATATCCATCCTCTCCCCATGGAAACAACAATGGGTATTGCAAAGGTATGAAAGCACGGTGTCTCTCATGAATCCTTTGTAACAAACCACATCTTTTCCTTACAATGACGTCTCGTTCTTCTTTTGATGAATTGAAATCACCCACTATCAACACAGCAACTTCATCCACCGTGGGAATATTATAATTTCTCGAATCCCGACATCTTGTCCGTAGCAATCTCAGGGAGACATTTGGAGTAGGTTTATGCTCGATGAAGTCTCTTGCCGCCATTCTAAAACTCTGTGCTAGAACATTATGTTGATCTATCATATTTTTCAGATCTTGAACTAAGCTTCTATCTATAGTCGCACCATTATTCCCTCTACTGCATCATAAAATGCAAACATGTTGGGTGTGTTTGTTAGTAAACTTATAAGAATGTAAGGATTACGTCTTTCATGTTCAAGAATAAATCATACGTGTAACGAACAAATGAAGTAAGTGTATTAAGTTGAGTAAAATACCTGTAATGGCTCATTCGGTTTGATATTTCATTTTGTGTATCATATATGTACAATTGTGTGTATCTTCGAACAACACCCTCTTGTGGCAATAAAGATCCAATCTTGTGATCATTTTTTCCCCTAAGTGTAAATTGCGGAGCTGCTCGGCCATTTTTCTGAGATGTTTCTATTTGTCCTTCAATTGGTGTGAATGAAAACATGTTTTCTTATATTTTTCATAAAATGAGAACTTCTCGGATCAATGCCGTTAAACAAATTAAAGAGTAACTCATGAGATTTTTGCAGAAGAGGCAGATGTACTTTTCATTTCATACAACAAATAGAGAACATACTCCGTACTTGATTTTATTCACGAGAATGTACAACTTTTTAGTTCTATATATATAGAGAGAATTTTTCTATGAAAAAAAAAGTTTTGTTGAAATCCATGCATGAGAGAAAAACATTTACGTTTTAATTAAAAACATACTCCCTCTGTCCCCTATACATCTTTTCATTAAATATTTTCATTTGTTCATCATAAATCTTCTCATTATCTTTTTTAACATTTAAATACTACAACTATTCTTGCTTACATTATTTATTATTACACCTCACTCATCTAATATAATATACTCCACTTATTTTCATAAGTGAATTCACAAAACAGTCCTTTCTAATAAGATATTTTCCTAAATTAGTCTTCAATAACTAAGAATTACTTGTGTAGTCCTTTATAATTTAGATTTATTCCCTAAATGGTCTTTAGTCGAAAATGGTTAATTATCAAATATCAGTCAAATTGAAGATATTTTGGTATTTTCTATCATTCAGACGTAAAGTATGTTCTCAAAATGTCTTTTTATAATTAATTATTTTTTCAAACTGATAACTTCTAAGTAAATGTTTTCCGGAAATGGAACTCATGAGCCTAATCGGGGTGAGTCCATTTTTCTAATAGTCACCCACTTAAGTTTGAAGAACCATTTTGACGACGTATTCACAGTTTAGATGATGGAAAATACAAAACCATCCTCCAGTTAACTTTTATTTAATAAACATTTTTGACAGATGACTATTTAAGGAATACATCTCAATTATAAAAGACCGCATTAGTAATTATTGTTTATTGAGGACTAATTTGATAAAACATTTTATTAAAAAGGATAATTTTGAAAATGTACTCTATTTTCATTAAGGATATTTCGGTAAATTTTCATTTTTTTTCAACTCTCTTCAAAGATCACAAAAAGTCAAAACTAAATAGAATTAAATAGAAAAAAGAAAATGAAACAATTATTTAGAGACAAATTAAATAGAATAGGCCATTCAAAATAAATAAATAAATAAATAAATAGAATCGGCATGACTGTAGAGTGGAGTTGGGATGCGTAGAGAGCAAATTAAAAACCCAAACAAAAAGTAGTATCTGCCTATTATTAGGTCCACCAAAACACTAACAAACATGGGATTGAAAGTGAATGGTCGGTTCTGAGCTCCACAATGCCAGGAGCCAACCTGCAGGCTAGCTGGCCTTTTTTTTTTTTTTTAATGTTTCACCGTTAATGGAGAATATGTTATGTATTTACAGTGGAAAAGGGAAAGATTCATTCTCTGGGAAATGGGAATCTTCGGGGGATATGCAACACTCACTGATTTAAAACAAAGTACGTACGTATAGCTAGCCACCACCAGACTGTTTCCATCGTACGTTCATCTCCCCATTAGAGCCCGCAGTACTATACTTTCTGCATGTGCGCTTTGCACTACACTCGATCACCTGCATCACCATTACCCAACGTCCACCGTTGATTTGGTGCAGAGCCAAAACAATTTTTGTTTTATTTATATTAATTATTTTCTTTAGGTAGGTTGTTATTTTTATTGTGCTAGCTGGAGATATTTTACCCCGGAATTTATAGCTTCCCGGGATAAAAATTAAAAAAAGTTACTGATGATAATCTATGTTCTGTTGTTTTGGTATATTATTAGCATTTGGAATTAGCTACCCAAAAAAGTGTCCATTTTAAAATGATGTTCAAATATTGCGCATTAGGAATTGGAGAGAAAAAAATCGGCATATAAACTCCTAAATTGATAGCCCAATCTAGTAACACAACTTAAATTTTATTCCCTCCATTTGCAAAAAGACTTTCTATTTTGACTTGGAGCAAAAATAAAGAAGTGTTAAATTATAGTTGATTTCCAATTTTGCCCCTGATGTGATGGATAGATTATTAGAGAAAAAATATGATGTGATAGATAGGATAGGGTATGAAAAAGTAAGGGTAAAAGTGGTTTTTTAATATAAAGTGGAAGTGTTTTGTTGGAAGTGAAAAAAAAAATGAAAGAGAAAGTGTTTTTAAGAACGGAGGGAATATTATGGTATGAAATCCATTTTTAGTCCTCATTTGTTAAGGTGTTCATCTAAAAGTTCATTGCTAGTGGCCTTTTAGTCCCTAGACAATTTGTCGGTTTGAAAAACGGCATAAAACCCATATAATCTGATTGTTCATCTGGAGATCCTAGTCAACCAATTAGATTCAAAATAATCTAGTTGTCCACTTGAGGGGGTTAGGGGGGAAAACGGCATAAAACCGATATAATCTGATTGTTCATCTCGAGATCCTAGTCAACCAGTTAGATTCAAAATAATCTAGTTGTCCACTTGAGGGGGTTAGGGGGAAAACGGCATAAAACCCATATAATCTGATTGTTCATCTCGAGATCCTAGTCAACCAGTTAGATTCAAAATAATCTAGTTGTCCACTTGAGGGGGTTAGGGGGAGTGTTAAAGTATCCAATTTGGAAATTGAAGAGAAAAGTGATTTCGACATATAAGCTTTTAAATTGAACTAATTAATCATTTGAATTCAAAATTTTAATGTGATTCTATCCAAATATTTATTGCCCAATCCAGTAACCCTTTCACCATTCTAAATTCTATCATTAAAAAGCATTGTACGTGCCCCTTTCTTTTCCGACTAATGCCTTCAATCACCTTCATACTTTTTGAAACAATTCTCCGATCCAGATTTTAAAGTAAACAGATCCCCAAAATGCATTTCAGAGTTCTTGGGGTTCATTACTTTCAAAGGTCACATGCTTTGCATGGATGTACCTCGTCGCAGTCAGCAGACTTCGAACTAAGAATATCTCTTTTGTAGCACAACTATGCTTCACTAATCTGAAATCACTTTTTTTTTGTAATTTCACTTTGCTATTTTGTAAAAAAGCAAAATCAGGATAGGTGGTCTTGCCTTTGTACTTGTAATTCTTGGATCCGCCCCAAGGTGTCTTTGAGATTGTACGCAAAGCACCGCCTTGGAGCCATAGACATCACCTCATCAATAACAATAGCCCAAATGAATCCTACAAGGTTGGAGTAGGGTCTGGACCTCTAGGGAGATGCATGTGTAAAACAATCTTACCTCTACTTGAAAATAGAGAGAGTTTAATTTCTAAAATACCCCATCTCTAGGTAAAGGCACTACAAGTTAAGTACCAAAGACACGTAAAATACAGAACCCACATAAAAGAATAGCAATAGAGAGCTAAGTAAGGCTCGACGGGACCGGCCCGGAATTGTGAAAGAAATGTGATTGGCCCTGTGAAAAATTCAAGTGTTGGACCCTATTTTATTTTTTTTTGAGTACTTTTGATTTAAAATTAGTACTAAATTTGATTTTTAATGATCACTTTTATAACAATTTAAATATTAAAATATAAATTTATACTCCCTCCGTCCCCCGGCCCTAAGATCTTCTCATTTTGACTTTTTGTGGTTTTAAACGAGATTTGAAAAAATGTGAAAGTTTACCATAATACCCTTAACGAAAATGGGTGGAGTGTATAAATGAGGTAGGTGAGGTGTAACAAATAAAGTGGTGGTAGTTGTTGTATTTTAATTCTTAAAAAAGTTAATGAGAAGATTTATGATGGACAAATAAAAAAAGTTAATAGGAAGATCTATAGGGGACGGAGGAAGTATTAAATTTAAAAATATTAAGTAAATATAATAAGGATAAAGCTACTTGTACCCCAATTTTTTGTACCCCAATTTGTACCCCGCAGTTTCGCACCAACATTTTGTGTTGGTGTAAAATTAATTTTTGTTAACGCACCAACACTTTGTGTCTGTGTAAATTTTTGTTAACGCACCAACATTCGTATCGGTGTAAACCATCAAAATATTTGTGTATAACTGCGGTATACAAATGAGGTACATTTTTTGGTGTGAATGTAGCATGGTCCATAGAATAATAAACATTTAACAATATAGAGCCAAGTCTGAGCCGCCTATGAGGCTAACCCCTCATCCCTTGCCTGCCCGACCTATATATATATCGAACTACCGCTAAACTTCAACAACACCGAATAACTCACAAACACACTGCTGAGTTACTAATAAACCCAAATATATACTTCCCCGCCCTTTAGCAATTTCCCATCATATTTATAAGTTCTTGCAAACAATATACTAATATAAATGGCGACGTTGTTCAAGTCTATGATTCTCACTTGTGCTGTGTTTCTGGCACTCCTTTTCTCCTTTGGGATTCACGTGAGCCATGAAAGACCACTGATGAAACCTCTTCACTTTCATCAGCTGCCTTACAACGTGGCGTCCATCAACGACAATAATTATGAAGGCGGCACCACTGCCTACGGCTATGTTAACGCCGACAATCCTGGCCACAGTCCCGGCGCTGGCCACCCCGTTCAGCCTGCCACCATCGGCTCAAAAGCTTGATTCAGTTTAACAAAATAGCTATTGCGATGCATATTCATTATATTATTTGAATTGGAATTAAATTATTATTAGTTCTAGCTACCATGCATGCATGTATTATTTTATTGTGTTCGCTATATCTTAGTTAATTAATAATCAACTATGGCTTGTATGTTCTATCATGCATGCATGAAATAGATGAAATTATTAGACTTAGTACGAGGTATGTAGTTCAGTATTAGTTACGTTGTTCAATATGTTTTCTTTTAATGTGTAAAGGGCGCTGGTATATTGCCCAAGTGTCTAATAAATATATGTTGATTTTATTTTTCATCCCTATAAATTAAACTTTTGTTTGTGTATTGTGTATTATTCCCTTCTCATTGTACCTCACCTACACTAGCTAGTGTCCCAACGAATGTTAATTCCGTCCTAAATTATTTGTTCTGTTTTGCCTTTTTTCAATTAATGATAATCAATATTTGACCTATAATTAAATACTCTTTCCATCCTTGAATATTTATTCATTTTTGACTTCATAGATCAAAATTTGTAAGCTTTGACCTCAAATTAAATAAACCTTTTTTAGATTTATTATACTCTCTCCGTCCCTGAAAACCTTTTTCCTTTCTTTTTTCATCCGTCCCAAAAAACACTTCTCATTTCTATTAAAAAGTCAATTTTACCCCTTACTTTTTTAATACCCTACCTATCACATCATATCTTTTTACTACTTCCTCCGTCCAAGTTGAAACTTCTCGTTTTGACTTGGCACGGGTTTTAATGTAAAGTGAAAAAGATGATGGATTTCCAATTTTACCCTTTCACCCACCCTTACGTCTTCTTCACTCCATCATCCAACCTGCCTAACTCCATTGTCACAAATCAATTACTCCTAAAACTAAAAACTGAAATATGAGAGTTCCGTTCCAACCTGCCCACATCTCACACCTTCAAAATCAAATATGAAAACTTCTTCACAATCAAAATCAAAACATTAAAAATTGAAAATTAAAAGTTGAAATCAGATCTAAAAGCTTCGCTATCCGCCTAGATCTGAAAGGTTCGTCGCCCCCTCTTTCATTGTTGTCCCTTCATTGCATCTTCGATTTCACGCTGTGGCGAGGGTTGCCGGATGAAGAAGAAGAAGAGGAGAGAGAGAAGGAGAGGGGAAGGAGAAATAGAAGGAGATGGGGGGATGCTCGACACAGAGAAGAAGGAAGAAGACGAATAAGAAGGGATGGGGGGTCTCAGTAAAGAACGAAAATCAAAGAAGAGAAAATAAAAGAACAGGACATAATTTGGGTTGGGGGTGAGAGGGAGAATAAAAGAATAAAAGGGTAAAAGGGTAACTTTGGGGGTAATTTTTTTCCATTTTAGGAAACGGGAAGAATCAAATGGGACGGCTTAAAAAAGAAAGTGAGAAGAAAGATAAGGGACGGAGGGAGTAATAATCTATCCATGAAATCATATTTTTATCCATCACATCAAATGAAACTTTTGGAAATTCAATACCAAAATAAAATACACTCCCCTTAAATCCTTTTTCAAAATCAAAACTCCCAAGTTTTCCGGAACGAGGGGAGTATAAAATATTTTCAAAATATTATTTTATCTAATTGATATACAATATATATTTTATTTAATTATAGGTCAAAAGTTGAATACAATTGACTGAAAAAATTTAAAACTGGATAAATACTCAGGGACGGAAGTAGTAAAAATCACATAGTGTATTACTTATTTCGATCCTCCGCCACTGACTCTTCGTGTTTTCAGTTTTTTGGTCGAATAGTAATACTCTTTTAATACAAATTCTGAGAAAAGTATATTGAATTAAAATATAAATTTAATATAATTGGGTTCATCTTGAGATATAGTTTTAATATACTCCCTCCGTCCACCTAAGTTCTTCCCGTTACGCATTACGAGGCTTGACCGACTTTATTTTCAATTCAATTTAATTGATTATAGGAGTAAAATTTTAAAATAAAATCTATTTAGTAATAAACTACATGAAGAGTTCTACAAAACTAGAGGTGACAAAACTATATTATTTTATGAAATGACTAGTAAAAATGAGCAAACAAAGTGAGTAAAGTTTGACCCTGTGAATAGTGTGTGGGAAGATCTATGGTGGACAGAGGGAGTATTAAACTTTTATAACATTTAATCCCTCTCTTTCTTAAAAAACTTTCTCTTTCATTTTTTTGTTGGGTTAAGAAGCAAAAATAGGAATAAAACATTGATTAAAACCTAAAATAGAAGTGAAAACACAAAACCCTCAAAATAGGAGTTGTTGACTCACCATTTCATCATCACCTCTTGCTCCTGTTATCATCGCACATTGTCGGCATCGATCACTAATCCCCACAGGTGTAGTGCCATGGTGCTACATGGAGAAAAAATAATTCGTACAGTGTCAATCGAAAATACAATGACAAACATGACATTGTAAGATGTAAAAATACAAAATTTTATGTCAATCGAAAACATAATGCTATAGATGCCAATGCAGAGTGACAAAGCGTGGCTGCAAAATGCCAAAAGTTCAATTGTACAATGTCATGTATTAGTTAAATAATTGACACTGTATGAATTACTTTTTTATTGAACTGTATGAATTGAACTGTATGCACAGTGACAAATACTTGTGCATTGTATTTTCGATTTACAATTGTCAAGTATGAATACTTCTATTAATTCATACAGTGTATGAATAGGTATGAATTATTTTTTCAATCGAAAAAATAATTAATTACTCCCACTTCTATGCACAATGACATAAAATAATGAATTACGTGTGAATTAACCATTTTTTTCGAAAATACAATACACTATATGAATACTTTTATTAATTAAGTTAATTACTCCTACTTAGAGAAGTTTAAGTTTGAACTTCTACTTTGAGGATATAACACATGTTTTACTCTTATTTAGGGGGTCTTCTTTTTTTTTGTTTTTCCCCAAACACTTCCACTTTCTATTAAAAAAACTATTACCCTTACTTTTTCTTACCCAACTTATAACATTATACTTTTTAATAATAATCTACGCCCATCACATCTTACTTTTATCCATTACATCAAAAGCAAAATTGGAAAGTTATCCACAAATATACACTCCTTATTTCTCCTAAAAGTCAAAATAATAAGAATCATTTTATGAAACAAAGGGAGTATTTATTTATATTATGCTTAATTTATAGTCAAAGAGTGTCACTGTTTGATCAAAAAAGTTAAAACAGGAAGAATTTTCAGGGACAAAGGGAGTAAATAAAAACATACTCCCCCCGTCCCATAAACTCTTTTCCCTTTATTTTTTCTTTATCCCACAAAATTTTTCTCATTTCTATTAAGAAATCACGTTTACCACTACTAATTCTCACCTTGCGTATCACATCATACCTTTTTATTAATAATCTACCTATCACATCCTACTTTTAGCCATCACATCAAATTTATTTTTGAAAAATCAACATAAAAATATCTCTCCCTTAATTCTCTTAAAAATCAAAATGAGAAGAACTCTAGGGAACGGAGAAAGTATTTTACAGGAAATATCTAATAAAATCATTCTTGTATGAGATGCGCAAAAAATGAAACAGGAAAGACTTTTTTAGCACGTAGGGAGTATGAGGATACAAGATACCGAAGAAACCTTACACTTGCCCATGTAAACCTACTTCCTCCGTCTGATAAAAAGGATCAATATTTCTTTTTTTTTGTCCCCTCTAAAAAAGGATTTTCAACCATATAATTTTTTTAATCTCCACGTCAAGTCAAAGATAGAATCTTTTCATGGGAGAAGAAATATACTCCCTCCGTCCCAAAAAGTTTGTTACATTTAGAAAATACTGCGTCCCGTAAAGTCCGTTACATTTCTATTAAAAAACCACTTTTACCCCTTATTTTTTCATACCCTACCTATCACATCATACCTTTTTTCTAATAATCTACCCATCACATCCTACTTTTACCCATCACATCAAGGGTATTTTTGGAAAGTCAATACCAAAATATCCCTCCCTTAATTTCCCAAAAAGTCAAACCGTCCCATTCTTTTTGGGACGGAGGGAGTATAACATAAGTTGGTTTATATAGACTCGCTAATAGACATCCAATTGATTTGACCAAAAAATATAGAGTAAATTCTATAATTGGTCATTTTTTAATCTTTTACCATGTTGATGTTAATCTTCTAAAGAGTATAAGTATAATTTGACATCGATCTTATGTCTAGTAACCTAAGATTTTGATAAAAAATCACATTTGTAGACTATATTTGTAGTAAAAAAACGACTATAATTCGACACATCCGGAGCGGCCTTTGGAATTGTGTATGACAAGATAGATATAGTATCACTGTGAAATTACAAATTTACTCTTTAAATTACCACCAACATGATTGATGATAAAAAAGGATTATTTGCGAAAAATACTCATAAAAGAAGAACTACTATGATAATATTTGATCATAGAAGAATAAATAGGAAAATTTCATTGTTATAAAGGACCAATTGTTGATTTTACTCAAAAGTATAAGAGGGTGGGTGTTCACTAATAGAAACCATGTAAGTGAAAAGATATACGAGTACTCGGTATCTCAAAACTCATACTCCCTTCATCCCTAAAAGATGTTCCTATTTCGTTTTTTGTGCATCCCATAAAACACTTCTATTCAACTTTAAAATTTAAATGTCAAAAAAACTTTCAAATCAACTTCTACCTATAATAAAGAAGAAATGTGGTAAATTTTAGGCAATTTAGGCGTGGGTAGAAGTGTTTTATAAAAGGCGCAAAAAATGAAACTGGAACATCTTTTTTGATCTTTTAGGGGCAGAGGAAGTCTTTTTCGTGCCTCTCGAACCTCAATATCCAGGGAAATACGGATTAATATGAAATAGTAACCATAATTGCAATTGAAAATGTGAGATCAATGAAAAAAAGAAGTGTAAAAGCGTATATTCTTCTATCAATTTCGCGGTACTGTTCGACCTCCCCAACGTTTAACACGGTCAGCCGCCATATTGGCCTGCACATCATAAAAAAGAATAAATTAACTTTGTATAATTCACAAGTTATGTTATTGAGAATTTTTCTAACAAAAAAAGATAATTTGAATTTTAATCATAGATCAGTGACAAAAGGTGAAGTATTTGCTCAAATTTTATGCTTAAGATATTTACTTTTCAGCACAATTACTACAAATCGGATTCAAAACATACTGTCTTTATGCCCTATGCCGCATAGGACTCCTTATATGAATCAACTTTTGGTCATCATATTTAGTCACCTTGATGAAAGCCTTACTTAAAAAGACTAAGACACGTTTATTCGATTTATTTTTTTGTTTATTACTTATTCTTGTTATAATCATATCAGATAAAAAACAGCTTTTATTATGAGTGCAATCAGACCAAATCAGATCTTCAAAAGATCAAATCAGATTAGGCGAACGAAACGTAACCTAATACCCCTAAAACACCATCATTAATCTCTTCTAGAAACACATCTTGAGTGATTAAAAAACAAATCTTCTAATTCATGTCATTAGAGTCCCCTTCTCACGCATGAATTCAAGATTAGAGGTACCACATAACCTCATCTTCATCAAAGAATGAATATGAGTTGGTGTGGGGTGGATCTAAGTTTGAATAGAATAATAGAACTAATTTCAGGTCATTTCTATTATTTATCTTCAATTAAAGAGTGACATAAATCATTCTCCCTCCATTCCACAACACATTCTATTCATTATCACAGTTTGATTTTTTTATATCAAATTCTACAATTTTTTGATTAAAGACTGTTAAATACACACACACACACACATATATATATATATTTAATAAAAACGAGATTTATTTTAAAATATAGTTTTGATTTATCGATTTTTATAAAATTTAATTATAGAACTTTTCCAATTACTTGAGTGATACAGAGCACACTCCCCAGTATTCATGAAGAAGTTTACTCATGTTCACATTTAATTATGATTATAACTACATTTAGTTTATGATCAGAATGTTGCACAATTTGACCAATAAAGTCAAAATGTGGACGATCTTCATTCTAAATTAAATTATCTACTACTCACATTGTCAAACCTTAGTCACTTTCTTTTCCTTTTTTCATAAGTCATTTGGTAAAATAATATAGTCATGTCGCTACTGATATTGTAGATCTGTCGGTATAGGTTTTAATATGTAATTTTTATTTTTTAATTCTACATCATTTTTCATATAAAATGATTTGAAAATAGCTTCAGCCAAACATCGTAAACCGAAATAGGCGATTTAAATTGAGACGGGGGGAGTACTATTTTTGGCATGGAGAGAGTAACGAAGAAGAGAGAATTTATCGCACCATGACCCCCTCTAGTTTGGTGAATGTGCACTGTTACCCCTATGATTTCAAAACTTGCGTTGTTGTCCCTCATGGTTCTGATATTGATACGTTAATGTTCTCTAGACTAAAATATCCTTCAAGTATTATGTAAATAGCTCCACTGTCCCCTATGGTTTTGGAAATTGGCACAAACACCCCCTCTTTTCTTTATTTTTTTCTTTTTTCTACTATTTTTTAATAAATGCTTTTAATTTATTTTTTAAAATTAAATTTTAATAATGTTTTAAAAATCATTTTTTTTGTGTTTGCAATAAAAATCAATTAGATAACACGAATTAACGTACACTTCATTTGTCTCAAATTAGACATTTTCATTTTTTGTTTAAAAGATGTCTTCATTGGTTCATTTTAGTGATACGAAAAACAATGGAATATTTTCTCTTTTTACTAAAGCTCATTTCACATTTTCTATTCATTAATTTTATACCGTTTCTCTTATTTTAATCAAAATTAAAATAAAAGAAAAACGGAGAAAAGAAAATAAAGAAAAAGAAAAGTATATGAAAAACATACTTTTATAGAAGAGAGAAAATTAAGTCATAAAGAAAATATTTTGTGCATTGGTCCAAAAAATATTAAAAATATATAATTAACTATATATAAAATAAGATGTTACTTAGTATTCTTTTGGTCCCGACATATTCAGAAAGATAAAAACTTTTTAGACAAAAATGAAAATATTTAATTTGAGAAATGAAGTATATGTTAGATTTTTTATTTCAAACACAAACATTTTTTTTATTTTTAAAAGCTTTTTTGAAAATGTAGGTTTGATAGACAAACAACGAAAATATTTAATTTGACAATTGAAGTATATGTTATAATTTTTATTATTTCACAGACAAACATTTTTCTTCTCTTTATGAAAAAAGAAAAGAAAAAAGAAAAGCAGTAAAGAAAACGAGAGGGGGCGCTGGAGCCTATTTCCAAAACTATAGGGGGCAACGAAGTTATTCACTTAATATTTGAAGGGTATTTTTATCCACGGAGAAAGCTCTCGGTAATTAGTTCATCTTGATGATTAATTTGAGAAAGCGCATTTTTGTTGGGTCTTAGTTTTAGAAGAGTTTATTGCACCAACACCACATGTGGTTGGTAAATATGCATCGTTAGTCCTTATGGTTTCAAAACTTATGTTTTTGCGCTCATGATTCTGATATTGCTACACTAATGTCCCTCTGGACAAACTTACACGCATAGTTATTGGGTCTCACTTTAAGAATAACTATATTGGGTTTCACGGGATGATGTTGTAGAGAGCCTTTTACCTAGTGTAAATTCTTAAAATGAGACCTAATAAATACTCCCTCCGTTTCCCAGTTTTTGTTCATTTTTGACTTTTGGAATTGTTCATCTAAGCACTTTGACTCATCAAATTCTCTCAATGTGTAAGCCTAAATATAGTCATGTGTGATTTTGTTTGATTTGTCTTAACATATAGATTATTAATATATAATTTCTATAATTTTTTAATATACAAATTACAAGATAAAATGGATTAAAGAAGTGCATTGGATGGTGTGTAAAAATGAAAATGGACAAATACTCTGGGACGGAGAAGGTATGCATTTTCTCAAATTAGATTTCAAGATGAACTAATTACCGATGAGAGCTCTTTCGTTAATTGAGAATAATGATCAATTTAGTCTTATCGACTAACGATTGTCAAAAAGGTGTTAGAAGTATTTATATTAATTTACCAAAACGATTCCTTCTAATTGGGCGTTTCCCCAATTTAGTCCATTTTTTAAATAAAAATTAATGAAATCCGAAAAATTAATTTTAGTTCATTTTCCCAAAAGCAGTGTCAAAGTATTGTATAATTTGATGAAGAAAGTTAAATTATAGTAATCCTTTTAGATTTTGGTAGGGATAAGTACATTAGTACACCCCCAATCAGTTCATTTTCCTGAATGGTGTTTACGGTGGCAAGCGGGTCTTATCATATGAAAACCAACCAGTCCCCCAATGGGGTAAGTAACCAACAATGCGTCATTTCTTCTAATTCCAATTCCTAGGGTTTTTTTTTGAAATTCTTATTATTATTGATTGTATTTGGATACTATGTCGTTATTTGAATATTAGATGCTTGGATATGTGATGTTTGTTTATTGAAACTTAGGATCTGAAAACTCAATGTTGAAATTTCATTGCTTTGGCTATGGATCAGTGTATACGTCTTAAATTTTGGTTCCAAAGAGCCAGCTAGCTGCAGGGGTGATTGTGGAGGCAAAAGGGAAGAGGTAAAGATATGGTGATGATGAATATGTCTTAAAGAAATGGGGACAGGGTAGGAGGTAGAATATGACTTTAGGCCTCTTTTTTCTTGATTTAACCATTTGAACTCAAGATAAATATGTTGCATTGGGAGAAGTGTCATTGTTGGTAGTGATGGATTTTGATTATGATTTGAGTGAGCTACTAATAAATCCTTTAGTAGTGTTTGGGAACTAACATTTTTGTTCCATTCTTGCGTTTCAATTTCAAAATTTGAATGCATGAATATCAAATGACAAAGGGAGCTATATGGATTTCGAATTGATCTTTGTCATGAATTAGAGGAATTTGTCTCAAATCCAAATCTGGATTATTTACACTATGTTTGTTTCAAGGAATTTGGAAGGAAAAGAAAAAAAACAATTTTATCTCATTTTCCTCAACAAAATGAGAGAAATTTGGTTTTCCCTCCACTTAGTACATTTTGTCTTCTCATTTTATTTTCCTTCCACTGTTACTTTCTTTTCTCTCTAACCAAACAAGAAAATTTGTTTTCCGCTTCATTTTCTTTTCTTTTCCCTTTCAAATTCCTTGAACCAAACATAGTGTTAAGGTTCTCAAACATGGAATTTGAGTCAAATCTAGATTTGAAATCCACATCTAAGTTCTCAAACATGCCGTTAAGGTATTGTGTCCATTAAGAGTCACATAATGTTGGAATTCTACGGATTAATCTTTTATAGCTTTTTTTCAGGGCATGTTTCGGGAGTAATAACGAGTCGTTTTTGTGGCAAGCACGCCAACGACTTTTAGAGAGAAGTGCGAAGGACAAAAGGTAGTACGTACGTACCTCTTTATTCCAATTGGTGATTGAGACAAGAACTACGAGGATGAGTGTCTGTAAGCATATTCCTCCTATCATTCCACTCCAGATTCCCTGCAAATTATGAGGTAATTGATCCAGTTATATACATGCAAAACATATATCTAGCTAGGTAGAATCTTTGTTAGTTGAATCACAAGAAATTAATCTGAAGTCCAGTCCAGATTAATCGTGTATGCGTACCATGGCACCGAAGTCGAATGTAAAGCCCAAGAGGATTCCAGCAGGCAACCCTACAATGTAGTAACATCCAATGTTCACATATGCTACAATAGATTGCCATCCAGCTCCAACTGCAACCCCTGTTTCAACAACGCCGGAGAAACTTTAATTTGGAAATTTAATTTCCTAGTTCAAAAACTCATAACTCATTCTGAAACTTTCTTCCCGTTTCAATTTATAAAGTCAAACTGAAGTCATTTTAAAATTTCTTAACTACGCAAATATGAGCAGGAGTGGCACTTTACTTACCAGATAACACAGGTTGGAGGCTATTTAGTAGACACGTCCACCCTAGCAGAATTGCTAGCTTCGTGGTTTCCTTGGCAACTGCGTCGCTGTTAGTGAAAGCTAGTGGGAAAATGTTTCTTGTCGCAATCACAATTGCCATACAAATAAGTCCGACTCCCACTGACGTAATGGAAACAACTAACACAGACAATTTCGCTATCTTTGCATTCCCAGCCCCAAGTTCATTTGATACTCTCACACTGCAATATCCATTGAAAAAAGCCACCCATCTTGGTTTTAGTTCACTAGATGGTCACAAACAGAGTGAAATAGCCAATGGAACAAGAAAGACTAACTGTGACTATCTATCTACCAAGTACCACACTACATACTATGATGTGTTTTTAGTAACACTGACATGCTATTGTTCGTTCTCGTGAACATTTACATTATTTGAGGTACAAGTGCTAATAATTTCACCTTATGGCTGCATTAAACCCGATAGAAATCATCGCGTCCCATCCTTGTAAGTTCATGCTGCATAAAATTACACAAAAAAGTGTTATTACTTGGAAGATGAATAGCCAATTAATATGGAAATTCAGGTCTAAAAGTAAAGCATATACACGGAGAAACAAATTACGTACCAAATAGAGAGTGCGTCAACTGGGACTAGAGGATTCTTCAAACGCCCTGCTATGACAATTATCACCATCAAGTACCAAAACTCCAAGCTGCAATTCATGTAGTTATTCCATTGTATGTTATATTCTAACATGGCACCCTATCCACTCTTAAATTCGACTTAGTTGAAAGATAGCTAACATTATGAAATTGCAATGAATACTACCATAACATCACGGCAGAAGCTAAAGAAAGCTTGACAAAGCCGAACAAGTCTTGGAAAGCTTGCCATGAGAATCCATCCCAAGCGCCATCTGACTTGGAGACGAAAATGTAAATCAACTGTGAGATGACAATGAGCCACCATGAAGAGTTGAGGGTGACAGCTCCTCCCACCAATCCCCATTCCAGCTTCATCATAAGCAACCAGCTAAAGAAGGCATGCAGCAATAGCACTGCTGCAGATATCCATGCCATCACCAACACTTTCTTCTGTGCTTGCAAGAATTTCTGTATTGGGAAGTTGATGGCATATGAAAATAGTTGTGGTATCATCCATAAAGAGAACTTCCCTGGATTGTTGTAGGGTACATGCATCTATAATTAGTTAAAGAGTGCATACTGCATAGTTAAAGATGTATACTTTTTTCAAGATTAGCCTCAACGGAGGTAGTTTTTCGAACAAGTCATAGCGGCATATTAAATTAAATTAGTACTATAACATTTTGTGAACAAGCAAAAGAGTGCACGAAAGAATGCCTTGTTACTGATGAGGATAATTTGTACCCAATATAAAGAAATCTCTTCATTTTGTTTTGTTCATGGAGATCTTCAGTTTTAGCAAAATCTTATCCCATAGAGTTCTTGGAAATTCTGTCCTTCCCCGAAGTCTAGATTTAGTTCAATATTAGCAAATACTTCATGTCCTAATGTATTTGTCCAGTTTGACTTTTTCGAGTCAAACTAGAGAAACTTTGAGCTTCAATTTAATTAAAATTGTAATGTATTTTAATATAAAAATGACTTCATTTGATTTATCGTACTGAGAACTTTCAAATTTGTATTTCATTATTACTAATACGCAATACAAATTAGGAATAATTAGAATTTAAACTTTTTCCATTTTGACTCGAAAAAGTCAAACTGGACAAATATACTGTAGGAGAGATACTACTAAGTTTAGAGCATCTCCATTGGTGATGTTTAAAAAGTGTTAAAAAATTTTGGATTGATGAAAGATATCATTTAATGGATTGTGAGTGCATAATTAGATGGGGAGAGAGGGTTAAACATCCATTCCATGGGATACATTTAGACCCGGGGTTATTAATTTTAATATTTATTATATTTATTTAAAATATTGAATTTGTAATATAATATTTATTTTCAAAATATTTATAATAAATATTTTTAAATATTTATTATATTTATTTTAAAAATAATAATAGTATATTATCAAAAAACAATTTGAAGTTCCGCTCAAGAAGAATTATTGCAACTTATAAAAAATATAGTGAGTTATGAATTAAACAAATTAACTCCATTGTGTAGAATAATTTATTGTTCAATTATTACCAGACTATCTATTATTGAAAAAAATTATTAGTTTCACTCTAAAAAGATACTTAAATTTGGTATTATATATAAAAATATTTTTAATTAAATAAATCATTTTAATTTTAGAATTAAAAAAACAAAAAAAAAAGAGAATTTACCTAAAATAATCCCACCTTTCATTTATTTGTGAAAAATAGGCATTTTCCAAAAATTTCGTTAAGTGGTCATTAGCTTTTTAACGGTGACCCAAAACTCGCACACGTGTGGAAATGTGAAATTATATCCGGTGGCAATGAAAAGTGAGATTATTTTTGAAAGAGCGCGAAAATGTGGGATTATTTGAAATAATTTTTGCTTAGATAAATATGCACTATAACCTACCTCTTCTGTTATAAAAATTTACGTCGTCCTTCATGTTTCCACCAAGAAGAAAACAATAATTTTCGCTTTGATAAATATGCTTTATACTCTGTAAAATTTACTTGAAATTGTATTATAGGGCATCTTTATTAATGTATGAGAATTCAATTGAGTAGTTTACCTAAATATGACAAAAACATAGTGACTTTCTCAATATAGGACCATATGTTTTTATTTCCCAATGTAGGACTATTGATCATTATCTATTAGTCATTATTCAACTAAATGTCCAGCTAGCATCACATGAACATTATTCTTCTCACAAGTATTATTAAGTCTTATTTAGGGAATAAAAAAGTTTAAGTCCTACATTAGAAAATGACTTATGTTTTAGTCTTATTCAGTACAAATTTCACAATTCAAAGAGCTTAATAATTTGCTTAATAATTTATTGGGAGTACGCACATACGTTGTAAAAGAGATGAGAGTGAAAGATGGAAGAGGTAGAACGAACTAACCGGCGGCATGGGAGATGCGAGGGGTCTGTCCAATGAGGTGGAGAATAGGAGGGGAGAAGACATAGATAGGGACCAAAATGCAGGCGGTGGTCAGTAATATAACCCAGGATCTTTGCATGTATATCCCCAGCATCCTCACTTGCCCCGCACCATACGCTTGCCCGCACAGCGTCTCCAATGCACTCCCCATTCCCAGCTGCATATATATCCATCCACATGCAATCCATTTTTAATTTTAACGTTTGTTCAATATGTATATACTCCGTATATAATTAATACGGAGGATTATAGTTAAGCACTTTTCTCTGTTTAAAATTTATACGTACTTATTTCACAAACCTAGCTAATCGGTTCTTACTTGTATACTACCACCGTCCGTTCCAGAGTGTTTTTAATTTTGTGACTTTTTGCATTGAAAATTGACAAACTTTGATCATTTATTAAATATAATTGATATTACATATTTACACAAAAATGATTTTATTAGATTAATCTCTTAAAATATTTTCAAAATATTTTTTTAGCTAATTAATATACTACTTCATATATAGCTTCAATGTCATGGGATGACCCGGGGGCGCTCCGGTGCCCCGTTCGTAAAATTGACGATTCATACCCCCCTAACTCTCCCGGTAACCCCTCACCCCGCCCCGCCCCGAACACACCCCCCACCTACTTCAATTGCACCCCACAAGTTGATTTTGACTTTGGAGTCAAAATTTGACTCCAAAGTCAAAATCAACTTGTGGGGTGCAATTGAAGGGGGTGGGGGAGTGTGTTCGGGTCGGGGCGCGGTGGGGGGCTTTACCGGCGGGTTAGGGGGTGTAGGAACCATCAATTTTACGAACGGGGTACCGGAGCGCCCCCAGGAACCAATGTCATGGGAACCTTGCCCTTATTAAATACGGAGTAGTATATGTCAAATTTGATCTTGGTCGCCGTTTAAAAGTGAAAATCAGATAAATATTTTGAGACAGATGGAGTATTAGTTAGATGAAATAATATTTTAAAAATATTCTACAGGATAAAACTAATAAAATTATTTTGTATCAATATCTACTATCAATGGTATTTAATTAATAATCATAAGTTATCAATGTTAGCTAGACCTGGCAATCGGGTCAATCGATTCGGTTTCGGTTCGGGTCTCATTTGGATATATGTTATAATCGGTTCGGGTCGGTTTGGTTAGGGTCAGTTTGGTTCCAAGTTTATTTCAGTTTGACTGCTTTTTGGTTTCGGCTTCAGTTCGGATTTGTATTGGTTCGGGTTTGTATCGGATCGGGTTCATATCGGTTCGGGTTTGTATCAGTTTGTGTTTGTATCAGTTCGAGTTTATATCGATTCGAATTGGGGCGATTTTGGTTTATATTAGTTTTCAGATATATTTTAAATATTTACTAATAAATCAAAAATATCACATAATAAATTTAATCAATTTTTGATATACTCTGTAGTTATTTTATTATTTAAAACGGACGTACATAAAAAATAATACTTACATAATTGACTAATTGTTTATATTCTAAAGTTTTCCCTCCTAAAGTTTTCGGCGCGATCTTTTTAGTTAACATTCTACTTTGTACTTCTTTTATTTCTATTTAACTATCCATTTCACTGTGTGTCAAATATTTGAATAATTATATATAAAAATATATAATGAATTAAAATATATAGTGTAAAAGTTATTACCAAATTGTTGGTATTAAAAAAATACTTTAAATGTATTATTTTTAATATTTTTTTCTAATATTTTTGAAGAGACGATGTTTGTCAAACTTTAAGTTCGAAGGCAGTAAAATAAAAAAACACTTTAACTTAAGTTATAAAATATGGGGTAAAAGATTTGTACATGAAAATAGTTACACGGTTTGCACCTGTAATTTAAATATGTTTTTGTAGAAACACATCAACATATGTAAAAATATATAGGTAATTCTTTTTCTCCAAGTTCATTCGGATTTGAATCGGGCTGAATATATTCCGTTTGGGTTCGATTTGGTTCGGATCATTTCGGGTGTTCAGTTCTATTTCGATTCTTTAGTTTTCGGATCAATTCGTGTTCAGTTCTGGGTTATTCAGTTCGGATTATTAGTTTCGGGTCGATTTTGTCAGGTCTAATGTTAATTTCAAAGAGTAAAAAGTGAACTTATTTTTAGGTGGGGTGAACACTGAACCGTAGTAGTGGCCATGCAGGGTAAATGAGGTACTCTCTTCCTCCATGAATGCTTGCCCATTTTTAACTCTTTCAATAAAATTTTTAAATTTTGACCATAATTTAAATAAAAGTTGTATAACATATTTATGCAAATATAGTTTTATTAAATTCATTTAATAAAATTAAATATCTTAAAATATTATTTTCCCCGTTCTACAAAATACTTCATCTTTCATTTTTTCCCAGAAAATTACTCACGGGTGACGCGAGTTTTGTTGAAATAACTCTCAGGTCCCTCTATTTTCAAGAAGACAGCAGAGGTCCTTACATTTTGTTGTAATGACTGGAAGGGGACATTTCTTCCAATATTTCATCTATAAACGTTAATAAATGTATTTTTTTCTATTCTTTTCTAAATGTTTTAAGGTAATAAATCTTAGGTCGCTCCTTTTTTATTTCTTTGTCTTTCTTTCATTTGTTACTATTTTTTAAAGTGTTATTTTAGAATTTCTTCTATAAAATCGTATAAAGTTCAAAATTGTTTGTATTATATTAAAACAAATGAAATAAAAAAAATTTAAAAAAATAAAAAACAAGGTAATGGCAAAATAGGAAAAAATGGTATTGGAAAAATAGGAAAAAAATAAATTTATTAACACTTACGGATGATGTATTGGATGAAATGTCCCCTCCCAGTCATTACAACAAAATATAAGGACCCCAGTTGTCTTTTTAAAAATAGAGGGACCTGAAAGTTATTTCGACAAAACTCGTGTTACCCGCGAGTAATTTTCTGCATTTTTTCCTCTTCCATCAAAACACTTCCACTTTTTTAACCTACATATCACATCATACTTTTTTTCTAAAACTCCATCCATCACATTAAAGACAAAATTGGAAGTCAACTAAAATTTAACAATTCCTTATTTTGGCCATTGGTCAAAATAGAAAATATTTTCAAGAACGAAGAGAGTATTTTATTTAATTAATAATCGAAATATATATTTTATTTAATTATATTTGAAATGGTAAAACTTTGAGGTAATATTTAACTAGGAGTAATTACCATGACTCCGTAAGCAAGACCCGCCACGACGGAGTTCTCGATGGAGAAAGCAGCCAGTTCCAGCTCACCAACTTTCCCGGCGAAGGTTTGGGTGAGCGCGCCCAATGAGTACTGACAAATGGCCGTGAATATCGCCGGGCCCGCAATCTTCCACAGTTTCTTCGATTCCCCTCCGAAGTCTCCGCCAAAGCTTCTCATTCTGCTGCTCCACCGCGCCCGCGGCTTTTTCTCTCCGCCATTCTCCCGGTGGTTGCTGCCGCCAAGGAGCGGCTCCGCCGCCACCGCGTCGCTATTGGCCATGAATACGACAGAAGATTGGGACCCTGCAGTCGAGCGAGTGAGATTAGAGTGGCCGGGAGCTGAGTATGTTCGGGTCGTTGGGTTGAAGTGGCCAAAGACTACGTTTTTGTGCTTTGATCAATAGAGAAGTTTGCGTGATGTTGCACGCTGATGTACTTTTTAATTAAGCATTGGAAGGTAAAACCAAACGACTGCTGCTTTCTACTCTTTCGTACTTAGATTTTTTATTTTTAGATAATATGTAAGGCATGTAATTTATGCAAAGAGGATTTAAACACATCATTTTTTTCTAAATAGGATCGGTCTTATTTACTTTAACATTTGACAATAAAAATTTTTAAAATGCACTACTTTTGAGAAAAATGACTTATTACACAATTCAAATAGAATAAGATATTACTAAAAACAATTTGAATAGTTATTGAAATAATCAGTTATTATCTAACATTTTTTGTTAATGACTATTTTCGTAGAGTCATTCGTATAATGAAGAATTTACCTAAATGGTACTAAAACTTAGTGACGTTCCTAATGTAGTACAATATGTTTTAATTTTTCAATGTAGTACCAGTGATCATTGTTCAAATAAATATTCACTGTCATTGGACATTGTTCAAACTAAATGTCCACGACCACTGGATATTATTCCACCACTAGACATTATTCAAGTACTATTTAGGGAATAAAAGAGTTTAAGTACTACATTGGAAAATGACATACTCCCTCCGTTCTTAAAAACTGTTCCTATTTTGACTAGATGTAAAAATAAGGAAGTGGTAAATTGTAGTTGACTTCAAATTTTTCCCTTGATGTGATGGATAAAAGTAAGATGTGATGGATATATATTATTAGAGAAAAAGTATTATGTGATAGGTAGGGTATGAAAAAGTAAGGGTAAAAGGAGTTTTTTAATAGAAAGTGGAAGTGTTTTGTTGAAAGTGGAAAAAATGAAAGAGTAAGTATTTTTGAGAACGGAGGGACTATGTTTTAGTACTATTTAGTGAAAATTTCACTTGTATAATGAGTCATTATTCAACATGTGTTGCTAATGAGGGCATATACGGTGGCAGATCCTATAGAAATATGTGTTATAAAACAGAATAAAATATATTTGGTCCTATTCAGGGAAATCTACTATCTTTTAGTCCTATATGAGCAAATTTTTCTAATATATCATACAATCTAATAGGAAGACTCCTAATATTATTTTATTTAGTTTCCTTATTCTTGTATTACCATAATTACTTTATTCCTTTCCTACTAGAAATAGGACTCTTTCTTGTAATCCCTATATATAAGGACATATCTCTCAACATTCAATAAGACAAATTATTATCAAATTGTATCATGGTATCAGAGCCTTAGGTTTAAACCCTAGCCTTTTTTTTCGAGACTGTGCTTCACCGCCGGTCTCCTCCCTCTCGCCGGTCGACCGTAAACGGCGACCATGGCTCAACCTTCAGATCTGCTTGCTTCACTTCCTTCTGGCGTCAAGCTTCTTCTCCGAAATCTCCATAATCTTATCCCAGTGAAGCTCACCGATTCAAATTACCCTGCATGGTCTCTATACCCTTCCTTCCAAGCCTATACCTGTTGTGTGTCAAGCTGTCGATCACTGCATCCACCTGGCATCGCCGGCTTGGACATCCGGCTCCTGCTGTTGCCAAGTCTATTTTGTCTACTTTAGGTTTTAAATTTTCTGGTCAATTACATTGTGAGTCCTGTCATGTGTCTAAGTCTTGTCGTTTATCCTTTGAACTCTCTGAACATAAGGCCACAACGCCTTTTCAACTAATTCATTCTGATGTTTGGGGACCAACCTCTGTTCCATCTATCTCTGGTTTTCGTTTCTATATCTACTTTGTTGATGATTTTAGTAAATTTACTTGGATTTACCCTCTTAAACACAAATCTGAGGCTTACTCCGTTTTCACTAGCTTTGAAAAAATGGTTAAAACTCAATTTAATTCAAATATTCAGATTTTTCGAAGTGATAATGGGAAAGAATTTGTAAATACAGCCTTTGGCATTTTTCTTCAAAATCTTGGGATTCCGCATCACACGTCCTACCCTTACACTCCTGAACAGAATGGTGTTGCTGAACGCAAGCATCGGCATCTCATTGAGACTGTCATTGCTTTACTCTATGATTCCCACCTTCCTGTATCCTTTTGGGTTAAAGCCCTTGCTACAGCCAACTACCTTATAAATCGCCTACCCACAGCCACCCTCAATAACCAATGCCCCTTTGAAGTCCTCTATGGTCGGCCTCCGGATTATGTTCACCTTCGCCCTTTTGGTTGTCTTGTGTATCCCTGGCTTCGCCCTCACACACATCACAAGCTTCAACCACGTTCCACTCCATGTGTTTTCCTGGGTTATCATCCCACCATAAAAGGTTACAAGTGTTATGATCGTATTTCTGAGAAAACATATGTCTCCCGTCATGTTCGTTTTGTAGAAGATCAGTTTCCCTACTCTAAACTTCTGTCTACCCCAACCTCCTCCAACCCCTTAGGCATCATCACCATCTTTCCTCCAAGACCAGGCTCACAGGGTCCGGCACCGCACAGCTCTCAAATTGTTCTATCTGCTACTGCTCCGCAAATGGTCGACCGTTTCCCTCATACATCCACCCACGGTCGACCATCCCCTCACACCCGTTCTGAACCTCTACAGACGGTTCACCACATGGACCGTTCCTCACCCCACGATCGATCGCCCTCCCAACCCCTCTCGGAATCTCTACAGACGGTCGATACCATCACCCGCTCACCCCCACACGGTCGGCCGTCGACAGAACAGCTCACCACAACAAATGCCCATCCCATGCAAACCCGTGCCAAATCAGGCATTTTCAAGCCTAAAACCTATACTGCTACCACCATTGATACCTCTCCTCCTACCTCTGAACCTCACACCTATCACCAAACCTCCAAGAATAGCTATTGGTGCCATGCCATGGATGAGGAATTTGCAGCTCTGAATGAACAACGCACATGGGATTTGGTGCCCCTACCCAAGGGCCGAGATCCTATTGGTTGCAAGTGGGTGTATCGCCTAAAACGGAATCCGGATGGCTCCGTCTCTCGGTACAAGGCTCGTCTAGTGGCCAAAGGGTACCATCAAGAGTATGGCATTGATTATAAAGAGATGTTCAGCCCGGTTGTCAAGTAGCAAACCATCCGTCTGGTACTCATTCTTGCTCTACACTATGATTGGCCCCTTCACCAGCTTGATGTTACCAATGCCTTTCTCCATGGTACACTCGATGAGGATATTTATATGTCTCAACCACCGGGCTACGTCAATCCAAATCGGCCTGAGTTTGTTTGCAAGCTACGCAAATCTTTGTATGGCCTTAAACAGGCTCCTCGTGCTTGGTACACCTGTTTTGCTACTTTTTTGCAGTGACTTGGCTTCCAGTGCTATCGTCATGACACTAGTCTGTTCACTTTTCACAGCTACCGCGGCATGGTCATTGTTCTCCTATATGTTGATGACATCATTATTACAGGGAGCTCTTCTGATCTCATCTCTGCTGTCACTCAGGCTATGCATAAAAATTATCGCCTCAAAGACTTGGGTCCTCTGGATTTCTTCTTTGGCATTGAGGTTCGTCGTTCTGCGGATACTATCTTGCTTCATCAGACAAAATACATCTTTGATCTCCTTCAACGGGCTGGCATGACTGATTGCAAACCCACTGTCACTCCAATGGCGGCGCGGCCAACCCAGGAGATCTCGTCCACCTTCTCCGACCCAACATTGTTCCGAAGCCTTGTGGGTGGTCTACACTATCTTGCGGTAACTCGCCCTGATATTCAGTATGCTGTGAATCGAGTTTCTCATACCATGCATAATCCTACAGATAAGGATTACTTGGCTCTCAAACGTATTCTTCGCTACTTGAAGGGCACTTCTTCTCATGGCCTTCTGTTCAGAAAAGGCTCTCTTGATCTTGCTGTTTATTCGGACTCTGACTGGGCTAATGACAAAGATGATCGTCGTTCCACCATTGGGTATCTTCTTATGCTGGGCCGAATCTTATCTCATGGTGCACAAAAAAACAGACTCGCGTCTCGCGCTCCTCCACCGAAGCTGAGTATCCCGCTATGGCCGCGAGGGTGGCAGAGGCGATATGGCTTCATTATATTATGGATGCTTTGCATGTTCCGCCTACGAAACCAAAGATTTATTGTGATAATGAGTCCACAATCTGTGTCACCAAGAATCCCGTTCTCCATGATCGCATGAACCATGTTGGCTCTGACTGTCACTTTGTTCGAGACGAGGTTATGGCTGGCACTATGACTACACATCATGTTCCTTCTTCTGAGCAGCTTGCTGACATACTAACAAAACCGCTTCCTCCGACTCCGTTTCATTATTTGTGTTCCAAGCTGCCCCTCGTATCCGTTGATCAGCTTGCGGGGGGATAATAGGAAGACTCCTAATATTATTTTATTTAGTTTCCTTATTCTTGTATTACCATAATTACTTTATTCCTTTCCTACTAGGAATAAGACTCTCTCTTATAATCCCTATATATAGGGACATATCTCTCAATATTCAACAAGACAAATTATTATCAAATTGTATCACAATCGGATGTAATGTGTTTATAGTACATCCTCGATGAACACTTATTTGGTGAACGGGGTACTGAACTTTATGTTGAGGTCCGCACTGGTATCTTTTTCCACTTGCTTCCTGAGGTCAGCTAGCTCGTTCACAATGATGGCCAAGACTTGGTCCTTCGGATCCTCCAACCCGGTCGCTTGTCTTTCTGATGGGAACGGAGGAATGTATGACATTGATGCCACACTTAGTGGGTTGCCCGTCATCATTTGGGCCAGGTCCGTTTCTAGCCTCGGCTCGTGACCTCGACCTTTGTCATAGATTGCCTCTGATCAGCAGCGTTCTTAACGGGTTTCTTGTCCCCTAGCGTGTACATACATGTCACAGGGGGAGTGCCATAGCTGCATGGAGACCCCTACCCCCTATCCGTCCTTCACGTCTCGCATCGTCCCCGCGTTCCAACCGGCCAAAAGTCAAGACGTTCAGTCTAAGTTCCCCGTGTGGGCATTGTCGACCAGGACAAGG